TCAACTGAGTGTTCTAGATGCACTTCCACAGTTATTAATTGAGAGTTTTCGATGCCTGTACCATTTTTGCATTAGTATAATTGTGTGGCAAGTACAATTATTCGCTATTCCCAGGGAAGTCGAGAAATTTTCTAACCCGAAAAATTCCTAGACCAGACCGGGAATCGAACCCAGCCACCTCCAGCATGATCTTGCTTTGTAGCTGCGCCTTTACCAACTGAGATAAGGGGAGCCCCGTATTAGACTCATAACTCGTATTCGCTAGAACGTGTTCCATCAATATCTCCGGAACCAGTGAACCGATTCCAAACATATTCAATCTCGTTCTTTGATATCACAATGCCATTCGTTAGGTGTTAGTTGCATCCGATTCTGTTTAGTGGTTGTTGAGTAATCAATCCTACATTTTTTGACAGACTGGCCACTTCCTCAAGGGGTACCTTGAAAATGTCCGGCTATGGCTAATGTGGTTCTGACCACTCGATAAAATAACAATTGATCTTAATTGAAAAAAAAAATAGTCTCGACCTTCTCCGATTTGTTTGAAACTTAGCATAATTGTTTGTTATGGTGAATCAGTTACATTTGAGCTAATAAAGAGCGTTTCAGAATAATAGAGTCTCGTTAAATCTTGTTGTCATCAAACATTGTATCTCAGTTGGTTTTAACACGAAACACACAAATTTTAAGTCTGTGGATTTGGGGGCGACCCCGGCGTAGTGGTTAACATCTATACCTCTCATGCCAAAGTCACGAGTTCAAATCTCACCCCCGGACAAGTCACGAATGACCTAAGAGTGTTAAAGTGACCATGATAAAAAAAAAAAAAAAGTCTGTGGATTTGCAGAAATTTATGATTTTAAAGCTAACTTGGCCAATGGTTGGAAGTAGCCTAACATATTCCAATGAAACTTGGGTATAAGGACTTTGTCAACACATTTAGAAATAATCACCTTAAATTAGGTGTTTAAGGTTCAATTTACTTTGATGCATTTTCGAAAAATTCAAAAGCAGTTTTTTTCGACGCATTCTTTCAGATTGCTAAAAGCTCGCATCATTTTGTGTAGAATAGCAAAAGGAATCGAATAGTGCGAGCATTTCGCAATCTGGACTAATGCGTCGAAAAAAAACTGCTTTTGAATTTTTCGAAAATGCATCAAAGTAAATTGAACCTTAAGGCAGGCATGGCAAATCAAAGCAAGATCTAACAGAACCCACCATTGTTTTTCAGCGAATGTAAATTACATTCACTGAAAAATAATAAAAAGTTCTGCCCGCTCTACAATCAATCGTAGTTTTTGTCAAGTAACGAACTTTTCAGTCTCGGAGTTCTTAATTTTACATGACATTTTCGTTTACGTTTCATCTTTTATGTCAAAGATGGATTCCGTCAAGCATAAAATTAGTTATTTCTTAGTGTGCTTTCACAACTTTGCAAACATGTTTTCCTTAAAAAATGTACACCACATTTTGAAAAGGGAACATATTTGTTTACGTTTTTAAAACAAATTTTTGTAACTAACACACGATAACATGAAAAACAAAAACATTTAAAAAATTTTGTGCAAGTGTTTTTCCTCAAATTCAACATTTATAAAAATTTCGAATTATAGAAATACAAATTGCCTATCATCAAGTCGTACATATACAGTGTATCTCAAAATTGATTGTACAACCTAGACGATTTTTTTTTAAACATGGTGAATAGACGTATTTTTTTAAATCGTGGCTGGTGATTGAATAAATGTTTATTGATTTATTGCTATAATTTTGGTCTGTATTGGAGAAGCCTGTATGAAGCGAGATTTATTTTAATAAAACGCTCGATTTTCAACTGTTTACCTAGTGGAAGAATTTTAGTAAAATTAGTGGCAGATGAATGATCTAAAAATGAGCAAAATTTCAAGAAAATGTTTTCATTTTATATCAAGAAAATAAGGTTTTTCAAGAAAATATGCACTTTCCTTAACTTGCTCTAACTTGTTGTAAACTCATCCAAATATGCCCAATACTGGGTCAATTATTGAAAAATGTACCCTGAGTCAACTGCCAAAAATTCAGAGATTTATCTTTTCAACTTGTGCTTTTAGAGCCGTTTTTTCTAAAATTTAAGTAATGCTGTACGATCAATTTTGAGATACACTGTACATATATACTGCAACTGCCTTGGGAAAACTAATGAATACATCATTCTACCATCTCAAGGTTCCTCCAAAGTTTACAGCAACGGATGACAGTAGACCACAAGTCAGGAGCTGGACGAAAACCGGGAACAACGCGCAAAAAACCGAGAGAGCGCTGATTGCTCATTTCAAGTGGAATCAGAACATTTCAACACGGGACTTGGCCAACAAACTTGATGTTTCCCAAAGTTTCGTCCAGAGGGCCAATAAACGATCCGAATTAAAACCGTAAAAGGTGCCGAACTTCCCAAATTGCGACGAACGCCAAAAGTGTGTTGCCAAATCGCATCCGGAAACTCTACACGAAACTGCTAACGAAATACCGGTGCTGCGTCATTGATGATGAGACCTACTTCAAAGCGAATTTTAAGCCGGACAGGAGTATTTCAAGGGTTAAGACAAATTTGCTTTGGATGACCGTTTCAAACGGAATAAGCTTTCGAAATTCGTTACGAAGTACCTTATTTGGCAAGCCATATGCACTTGTGGCAAACAGAGTGAACTATTAGTGACCAAAGGCACCATAACCGGTGTTTTGCCTCGATTTGGCTGCATGCCACTACCAGAAAACCGTGCAGGAGTGTTATGCGGCTAATCCTGTGGATGACCCCACCAAACTGTCCTGAACTCCGTCCGATCGAAACCTAATGGGTCATGATGAAGCGCGAACGTCGGAAGACCAATGAAGAGGCGAAGGACGAAAAGAAAATGATGAGGAAGTGGGAAACACTGAGAAAAATGTATCGGAAACACTGTACAGGCTCTGATGGAGGGCGTCAGTTGCAAATGTCGAGCATTTTACTCAAACTCATCCTAAAGTTTAACTGACGTATGTAAGCTGAAATAAATATACTGAACTACCCATAATCGCAAGTCAGTCCCATCTGTAAAAACCTGGAAATGAGAAAACAGCGTTCAAAGATTTTACAATTTTTCTGATTTGACACTTATTTTAGAGGGATAAATTTAAAAATAAACGTACACTGTGATAGAATGCATCTATATTTACCAAAAAATATTGGATAAAATTTCGTGAAATTTTTATTTTATGACCAAAATCTGAGTGGGACTGACTTGCGATTACATGTAACGTCAATGAGAAAAATAACCGCAAGTCAGTCACAATTCCATGACGATGCTGCATTAATTTAGCACAGTATTTAACAGTAGAAAGATACCATGGTCCCATAGAACGTTATTGAATGTTTCTGGATTTGTTCCGCTGGTATCAGAGCAATGGCCGGAACATATTCCGGTGACTAATGGGTCTTCATCAGACCAGAGCTTTTCATAAACGTGCCAAACCCACCATGCGATAAACCATTTCAGATGAGAATTCAAAAAATAAGATCAATAATAGTCATGATGAGTGACCAGCACCATTTTGGAAGCACCCGGACATGTATCGGGTATCCCCGGGGAAGTGGTAAATCCTTTTGACATGAACATTCATCAAGCGATACAGCAAATCGCATGATAATTCAAAGCCATATCAATTGGCGGTCAAACTGAGTATCGTAAGAACTATCTGTCTTGAGACAAATCTCATGATGCGATGTGTTGTCTAACATTTCTAAAATATTTTTTAATAATGGGACTGACTTGCGGTTACTTTTCGGTATGGGACAATTTGACTTGGTATTGTTTTTCATGTTCTTGAACAAACCACCTTCAAAATTGACTTGCGATTACCGGCAGTGAACTGCTGCAACAATTTGGTTTCATTCCGATAACTATACCCGATTAACCAATCAATCTAAAGTGTCACAATAATTATCGACTCACCCTTTTATACCCAGTTCAAACTAGTGCAAGATACTAGACGAATTCAAAAAAATGTATTACATTAAATGTTAGTTTCATTTCCTATCATCCTCTGCAGCGAATCCCGCAGAGAATGATTTAAGTTGACCATGCAGACGATTATTATTTCGTGTTCTGTCTACGCTTTTGACTATACTAGCTAGCTTTTTATTTATAAAATTTTAGATTCTACTAAAAGAAAACGACGCACACACTTGCAACGATTCTCTTCGATTCCCATCAGCAGCAAAAAAAAAAAGGACACGAAATTGAGTATTTGAGGAAATGAGCGCTTCTTATACGCTTTTAACCTATCTATATTTAGAAGCATGAGGAGGGTTCGGGGTTTGAATGCAGACGGCAAATTTTTTTTCAATTTTTTTTTTACATAATTTAATACACTTACTAACACTCTCTACATTTTCCGGTCTAGAATTTTCATGCTGCCTCCACAAACATCCTGTGATGATGAATCTCTCATTATTGTAAGCAAAGCTTACATCCCCCGGGTTGGAGTAGCAAAAAAAAAAGTCATCGGCATGATGTAAATTTGCAAGCTGACATTTTATACTGAAGTAAGAAAACCATAAAAATAGACCGTTCAAGATGAAATCGACCTAGTAGAGCAAATCCACGCCATATAGTGAAACAATAAACAGATTTCAGATTTCACCTCACAGAATTCTATGAAACTTCGCATAATTGTTCGCTAGTGGCAATGAACATAGTTTATGCTGGAACTCGGCCATTCGATGTGTTTCAATAAATCATAGCACGAAAACGGCTCACCTGATCAAAATGACGGCTGAGACAACGTTTTAGGAAACTGGATTCCGTATTTAGAAAAAAATACACACTGAAAAAAATTCTAAAATTTGCCAACAATATTCAAAGTAAACTATAGACAAAAAGTGGAATTTAAATCCATATTCAGAGCTCAAAATAACAGTCCACAAAATAATCACCTGATCACCCTGGCATTTTACATCTAAAAAATACTGCTCATCTACTTACCACTAGCCGCACCATCAGTTCGATGATAAACCAAACGTTACAGACCAACTCGACGTAGAAGAATGCTTCGTGCGGTTGACCGTACGTTTCCTGCCAATTATCGACTATATTCGCCCCCTTGCCGCCCCGATAGGCGGACGATATCAGCCTACCAGCGGGCCGTTGAAACAGTCCACTGCCAAAGCTGCCGCTGCTACTTTTCGCTGGACTCCCTTCCCTACTGACAGCCACCGTAGCAGCAGGAGGTGGGTCCACATGCACTGACCCTTCGTCTTCTTTGCCACTGTTACTGCCACTACTGCTACTAACACTATCCGTTTGGCCGAAGCTGGTCACGTTCGCAAGAATCGCACCAATGCTGCTGCCGCTGGTCGATACGTTCAGGATGGCCGGAATTTCCACTCGTAGCCCCGGATGGGTCTTTAGACAGAACGATATCACAGAAATGCAGATGAAGAAAACCGAAATTCCGGCTACGATCTGAAAGATATGTTTCCAATCAAATCTCATGCCACGTGTGCTTCGGAGTGTGACGACATTCATCTGTCATAACGTCTTTCAGAAAACTACTAACCTTGGCTCCGGTTGAACTGGAAGGCTCGTCAAAGAGAGCCCAAATTTTGGGCTTTGTCCGCTGCCAGCAAGTCAGCTCACCGTTGAGAAGAGCCTCCTCGAAGCCAAACAGCCGGGCGATGGCTTCCTCCGATGGTTGCTCGTCATCCAGTTCCAGCTTGTCCAATATGGCCAGGGTGCTCTGCGAAAAGAAAACACGGAACGGAAGAAGGAAAGTTCAGTCACGATAAATAACAAGCAAGAACCAGTCAGTGTGCGTGGAACGGAAAATTGCATTATTATTAAACGCTTGTTTAAATAACGGAAAAATGAAATTTGCTAGCTGTTTGTATGTTTGCTGTTTGGCGCTTTCTTCGTCGTCGTTGTTGCTTCAAAGAAGTGAGTTTATCCACTCGCCCCATGCGCCGCTGGTTTCGAGTTCACCAAACTCAATTTTCAGAATCTTACTACGAGTTGAAATAATTCAGGGTTGAAGATAGGGGAAGTGAAAAAAAAAATCTACGAAAGGGTTTCATATTTTTTTACAAATAGCTGCAAACTTCGAAACTTATGCAAGCTCAAATTACCCGTCGCTCTACCTTCCATTATCCAAGTATTTTCACAAAGTTCTACGAATTCATGTTTACAAGAAACGCTATGATGCTGTTTACCCAATTTCGTTAAAAGTCGTTACTCTTTATAACCGACCCGCACCCCGATCCAGTTACCACTTCACCGACAAGCTCCGGAAAATGATCCGGTTGCTCTCCATTGCTGCCCACTTTGAAATACTTTTCCTTCTAAAGCCATTCTCTCTTCGTCCTAATTAAATAGTAAAACTTGCAACGGAATATTAAATTAGGTTGAACCATTTGGCAAATCACCCCCTCACGGTGGCTGATCTGACGTCTACTAGGAGTTTTTCACATCGCAAGCTGACGCAGAACGAACCAGTTCTCTACTTCTCAAGGTCTCACCAGTCGCGACCGAGTCGAGCTTTATGCATAATTTAAAGCTCCCGGTTAAATGCGAGCAAATCGAGCAAAGATGTATTTTTTTTTTGGTCAAATTCTCAAGCAAATCTCTGCATCCGTTCTTCTCGTTCTTAAGCCATCATCGCAGCACCACTCGCTGGCTGTTTTAATTTATCAAGTTGAAACTTTTTATGATACACAGTCTTGCTCTGAACGAACGACATTCAACAGGAGCTGTTTGCTACCGACCGCGCCCACCCACTTCATTAAATTTTCTTGCCACCTTATCAAACATTGCTGCTGCTTAGAGCAGCTCCTAGTCAAACGAAGGCGAGCAAGTTCCACGTCGATACGGAGTGCCTACGAACAGCAGGGAGAAGCCCAGGCTAATCTACTCAACAAATTAGCCTCCAGGCTTTTGAGTGCACTGCTGCGGTTTTGTGCTTTGCGTTCGTGCTTATTGAGGTTGTAGCGGGTTGCTGGGTAAGGTGGTTGCTTCATTTATAGTTTGTATAAAGCGATGACGATAATGATGATTGTGGGATGGATGATGTCGTCCCTGAGAAACCGTGGATCAAAACAATTTAAATACAAATATATCTTTTAAATTTGTCGAACCTCTTAACGGAATCCCTTTATGAAGAGCTTTGAGTGTGTTGGTTCATTTCCATTAAATTCCATTATGGTTGCTTAGCTTTTGACAGATACGCGTATTTCGTCTACTACTTGCAGACTTCATCAGTGCCAAGTGGTGTTGAGTACTTCGCGTTGATGAAGTCTGCAAGCAGTAGATGAAATACGCGTATCTGTCAAAAGATAAGCAATTATAACGGAAGTTAAAGGAAATAAACCAACACATACAAAGCTCTTCATACAAATATATGTTAAAGTTCATTTGTCCACGCGAATCGATCTGACTCGACCTTTTCTGATCCGCGTGAAACTTTGCATAGTGCTGGAGGAAATATTTCGAATATTGTTGAGAGGAGCGTGGATTTTCCATTCGAGGCCGGTAACTTAGTTGAATCTACAGCTGTTCTTGATAACGCTTTGAAAACGTGTACCAATCAACTCGTTGAGCAAAAGTTTGTTTCTTTGAAAAACTCGAACAGCTAGTACAATTTAGATCTTTTGCATTTTAAACGGAAAACGGGACAAATGGTACACAAAGTTTTGTAGATCAAATAATGACAATCATTGGACTAGGTACACAATCGCGCGTAATAAGTATTCACAATCGTTAAAGAAAACTCGTTGTGAATGTGTTCAGAGGAAGATTGATCAGCATCAAAACAACAGCAAAGATTTATAGAAAATTTTGAACTCTTTATTAAAACAAGTTACAACAGTCAGAACAAATAATTGCATCTAAGTTTAATTATTATTTTGTCGACAGTGTTTCATTGATTAATCAATCCATTGAATTGATCGATGAACCTGACGAAATAAAACAGCCAGCTAATAGTAGTGGTAGATTTGAAGGTTTTCAAACAATGACATTAGATGAACTAAGAGTTACTTGTTTTTCATTAGGAAAATCGACTGGAGTAGATAATGTTAAAGCAAGAGTTATTCAAGATTGCTTTCATGTCATTGGCCAGATCTTGCTGGACCTTATTAATGAATCATGCAAACTGGACATGAGCCATAAATTTTGAAGTCAGTGTTCACTCGGCTGTCGACAAAAGCAGGCCACTCTCAATGTGCGTCACGCGATCGTCTGTTTCCTCGGCAGCAACCATTGTGTGGTCCTCCTCATTGTTCTTCATCAACAGTTCTTTCAGTCGATGCGTCGTCGACTTTGGAAAGCAACCGTTTAGTGATGAATGTGTGAGTGCTGACCACGTTTTGCGTCCATTGCTACAATCACAGGACAGATAGGTAACTCAGAGCAAACGGTTTCATCTGAAACTGAGTTCATGCTTTTCTTGTGATTTTTGCTATTCCTTTCTATTTTCATTTCGCAGTGCACATGATGATTTTAAATCTTGTATGAATTGGTATAATAACCGTTAAAACATTTTAATTACAGTACGCTCTTAATTGTTTGAACATGCAAAAATTAAATTTTCTTTTTTTCAATGCTTGGCCAATCATTATTGATGTAATTCCAGCGGTTTTGTTTGAATACGTGAATGGGATATTACATTGCTTTGCATAAAATCACTATTAGTAATACAATTTGTTTGAACCAATTATAAATATATTTGATGGGATGTTGGTGAAATGTCTCGTTTTTAAATATGGTGATTGCAAATGTGTTCGGGTATCAACTATGTATGTATGTTTGTACAACTATGCTACTTGCTGTTCTGAGTCTGAAAATATTGAAAAAATGTGATTACTTAGAAAATTGTTCTTTCGGTTTTTCTTTGCAATTTTTCTCCATCGTGAAAATTTTCATGCAAAACATTTTTCAAATTATATTTTAATGAATTTATGAGATAATTTCACTTAATTATAATACACTTTTTTTTTCCTTTGATTTGTTTTCCGTTGATTCAGACCCATCAACTCATGGACCGGGGACCAACGGCTTTACTTCCTTTCCGAAGGAAGGGATTTTATGCCTCAGAAAATCCGGCGGCGTCGACCTTGATTGAACCCAGGCTTTTTGAGGTGAGAGGCAATCACGGTGCCACTATAAAACAATCCAAAAACTTCATTTGGTTTCAGTGATATAAAAGAAACTTGATATGTGACAAAACCGGATGCATTACTAACTTTAATCAAACCAAAAGTAAAACATTGGGATTGAACCCCGAACAACCGAGATGAGAGGCTTAGTAACCCTAAACCACAGATGCTTTGGGAAAATTGATGACTAAATCATGTTGCTTGCACTCCTGGGGTAAAGTTTTGTTTAAATTGTGTTCAAAAGTTAAGTGCCATAACTACCTTAAAAAAGCGTTGTTCAAAATTGTCGATTGTTAATCACATATTTTAACACACTTTTATGTGGACAGACATGGATTAAACGTGATCCTTATTCATGTATACGATTGACATTATGATCATTTCAAAATGAACTCCTAATAGTTACATTGCGTTTACTTATTTTGAGATTTATGGTCAAATGTATTTTTTTGGCCCAAAGTCAATGGTCCAGTTTTTATAGATTTTTAGTAAAATGAGATTTTGATTTAAATCAACCATCTCTTCAACAGTTGTAAATATATTATTGATGAATACATGCTTCAAACTAATTTCCGCGCTAAAATGTGAATTTGATAAGGAACGGAACTTAAAATTGTGTGTTTTTGGCCCAATTTACCCTCCAACTTACGGTACTATCTTCTTTTTTGCGCGTTCATCAAGTGCACCAGCACGTTTGTTGGAAATTTAATAATTTCCGGGTCACGACTGCGTGTATTATTTGTAATTTACGTCATGTTAAATAGCCCAAAAATATTAACTATTAAAACAAAACTAAAATCTGACTGCATTGACACCCTCTTGTGTGCAATATATAATTTCAAATATTTTTTGATGAATTTCTACTGATGTTTATTCATTAAATTCATAAATTCACTAATAAGCTAAAGCTAAACAAATATGCTAATAAAGATCATGTGTCAAATAAGTTGTGCATGCATAACATAATTATAATCTGTTGCGTTTGGCTTTTCAATACTAGCAATCTTTAGTAAAATAAATTTAACGTACTTTAATAAAACGGTAAAGTTTTCACTTGATTCACATGATCAAAATATTAGGATAGTACTGTACGATTCTTGTTGTCAATTATACCAGTACCAGCAATGCCAGATTGAAAGAAAAATATTAAATCCTAGTACACAACTAACCTTGGATTAAAAACTGCTAAAACCACTATGTACTGATGAGCATACAAATGTTACATGTCAAAGTAACATGACAACATTTATTTAATTGTTTCATTGAATTATTCGATCAAAACATCAAAGGCATTACCCGTAAAATAAAGAACCGTAGAGGTACAATGAAATGTATTGTAACCATACAATAGAGTTTATGGTATTTACAATAAATCGTATTCCCGACAACGATAAAATAACAATAGAATGTATTGTTTCTACAATAGAATCTATGGTAAATGGGGGAATATACAATAGATTAAGGGGGTCGTTATGTATCTTAACCATACAAAAAATCACTTTTTCCCGAACAAACTTGAACCATTTACCATTAATTGTATTGTTGTTCTATTGTTGAAAACTCTTACTATATGGGACCTATTGTACATCTA